TATATTATAATAATTATTATATTGCAGTCGTTATAATTATTATTATATTATAACTATTGTATTATATATTATATTATTATTATTAATATATTATTATTATTATTATTATTATTATTATTATTATTATTATTATTATTATTATTATTATTATTATTATTATTATTATTCGTTCTATTTTAGTTTTAAAATTTAATATAAGTTGATACTTCACTGTTTTGTTGGCAACATATGGAATGTTTAGTTCAATGTGATCAATTCAAAAAGTTGGATTAAAATTTCCCACAAATCTAATTGTAGTATGATCAAGTGACACAATGTGATATAATTATTTATTATCAATTTAATTAAATTTTCGTTGTCATTGTTCAAAACTATTAAAACTAATGAAATATGGAAATTTTAAATGGAAATATTTAACATTTCACGAATTAAACTAATGGAAAACTTCGTAAACAAATTATTTTGTAAAATAAGGAGAAAATAGGGAAAGAAAGCAGAATACATAAGGGATAAAAAAAATAAAATATAATGATTCCTTGTAGCTATGTTACTACTGCACAACAACGATAGGATAGGACATGTGACATTGGTCATTCGATGGAGATGTTACTGTGGTCACAAAAAAAAANAAAAAAAAAAAAAAAAAAAGAATCAGAAAGATCGGATAAAACGATGAGGCAAAAAGAGGGAAAATGAAAGAACGAGAGAGAGGGAGAGAGAAAGAAAAAAAAAAGAAACGATGAAATAGTCAGTGTTAGAGGTCGAAGGTTAAAAGCTCGACCTAACCTATGGTCATTATTATCTCGTCTTCCCTTTTCAGTAAGCATATACAACAAACACATTAGGATATATTATCTCCAAAATACTATAATAAACCATTGGATGCATTATCGTTAACGATCCATCATCAACCATAATTATTTAAATTTTTTTTCCTTGCAAGAAATAGCAAAGATACGCAAAGTTACAGGTGATAATGTGAAGTTTTAATGAAGATGTAGTAGATTCAGATTCAAGAATTCAATGAATCAAATGGATAATGAAGATGTAGTGGATTCAGGGTCAAGAATTCAATGCCTCAAATTGGAATCAGTACGAAGATGCGACTCAAAAACTTGTAATTCAGCAACATTTAAAGCGATGAAAAGAATGAAAAAAAAATTACTCGTTAATATTAAAAAATAATAAGTAAGTTAATCGATTAATTAACTAATTACAGGACATATGGCTAGTATGAATCCTTTGAATGTTGTGGTTAAAAATAAAAGGAATCGAAAATTTTTGATAAACTTTGTCAATATAATTTAGGATAACATTTGAAGTTATAAAAATCTTTTCTTTTTATCGTCATTTTTTTCCCTTTTATTCTTTCTTTTTTTTAAATTAAATACAATTAAATAGATGTTTCCAGAATTTCGAATAATTCCAAAAATTGGGCTTCATCAGAGTTGACAATATTTATTATTTTTATTAGCAAAAGGTTATTTGAGCTGAGGATGATTAATAAGTTATTGTGTAACCCTTTTGAGATGACATTTGGAGATGACATCCTTCAGGAACTAAAATTATCCATCATTTTTCATCATTTATTCAATATGATAAGTTGATTGAAGGTAGTAAGGATTTATATTATGCATTGAAAAAAATGCAACAAACACAGAAATCATCTTACCACAATTTCAAACCATTTGATACTTCCACTCAAAATTTCCATTTCATTTTTAGATATCATTTCAAACCTGGACATTTAATTTGATATATTCATGCATTCCTGCCAATTATGTGACACCTTGATTTTGTCTTGGTTTAATTTTGAGTTTTGTTTTTAATTTTATTTCAACTTCATCAATTCACTATCAGTTAGTTATTCTTTTCCAAATAAATGAAAAAATTAACGAATTAACAAAAATTAACAAATCAAAGAATTAAAAGAAATTAACGAAATTAAAGAAATAGATTGAAAAGCACAATTACCTATGATAGATAAATGTATTGTTTGTATTTAAAAGAAGTCTAAATGTAGTTTCGAGAGGAAAAATGGTGTACAAAATGGTGTACAAAAATGGTGTAAAAAATGGTGAAAAGTGGTGAAAATTTTTGAGATATATCCCATTCGATATTATAATCATTCTATGAT